GATTTCATGGAATAGATTTTCCATGACCTAATTAATTTCTTCACCTTCTCAGATACAAATTATTTGGATGTTTGGATGTTTAATGGAATCTAGTATTTCTCTTATATTATCCTCTTTTTTTTTGTTATTTTCTCTATCTTTTTGGTGTTTTTTTTCCTAAGACGTTTTACCTTTTATCTTAGAGATTTGATCTTCAGCATGGTCTCATCGACTTTTAATACTTTTGAGAGAGTTTTTGATTTCTTGTATTACAGACTTCATCTTTTTTTGTTTGTTTATTTTGCGTTAGTACACCTGTGCTTGCCAGAAAGACAGAGAGAGACAAAGAGACAGAAAGTGAGAAATCACCCCCCTCACCCTCCAGTAGGGATGGTCAGACTGCAATTCCTTCTCCTCCATTCTCCTCTAAGGATCTTGAGTACACATGAACCCCAGTTTAAGCCAATGCGTTTAGGACTCTAACTGTGATCGACTACATGAGAGTCCAGCAATGTAGCCATTGCAATATCTGCTGGTCCCCAGACTTCGTCTTTAATAGTCCCATCTGATTCTTTCTTATACTGTCCATTTCTTCTTCCAAATCGTGGAAGGACTTCCTCATCTCCTGGAGTTCATTGTCTCTTTTCTGTTCCAACTCATAGAACTTTGTCACTTTGAATGTTCTTAATTCTTTCTCTAAAATTTTGGTTACTTCTTCTGTTTTTTAAGGAGCTGGAGGAGAGTTATTGTGTTCTTTTAATGGAGACATATTTCCTGATTTCTTCAAACCTGAGGCTCTTTTCCTACTTTTAGCCATCGGGTGATATATTCACTTTTGAATACCTTTTTGGAGAATGTTTCCGCCACAAAGAACAAGTTTGTTTTCCTTTTGCTGTGGATTGATGTGTGCCAAAGTCTCTTTTGTGCTGTGTTTTGTAATGTTGTCCCCACAGGAGGAGTATTCTATTCAGTTGACTGAAGAGCAGTTTCTCCTTTTTTGCTGGTAGACCAGTAAAAGAGTGGATCTCAGGAAGACTCATCATACAAGGGTGTTTGAAAAGTATGATTCTAGACCTGTCTAGTCCCTCTGAGTGGGTAGAGGATGAAGAGAAGATGACAATATAAAGGTGAAGAAAAAAAGAGTATGAACAAGAAAAAAGAAAAAGTCACGTGCCACGTGCTAGTGCAGCAAGTGATTTTGCCATGGGGATGCAGATGGAACTGGGCTCTGCTGGAATGCTGGGGGCTGCCCTATGGAGTAAGGAGAAGTATGAAATTAACAAAAGAAAGAAGAAAAAAGCCAGCCTACCTTTCTGGCAGGAGAGGCGGGCTCTGAGGTTCAGAGAGCTGGGCTGTGGCTGGAGCTGGAGCTGGGTCCAGGGCCAGTGAAAGGTCATGCCTCATGGGTCAGTGGGCTGCAGGTGGAACTGGGCTTTGCTGGAGAGCTGGGGGCTGCCCTTTCTGGCAGGAGGGAGGGCGCTCTGAGATTGGGAGAGCTTCGCTGGGTCTGGAGCTGGAGCTGGTGTAGGGGCCAATGAAAGGCCTTGTCTCAGTGTCCCTGATGGGCCAGGAGGCTGCACATGGAACTTGGAACTAGAAAAATCTTTGAATGTTATTGTTTTTCTAGGTCCTCTGCCTTCCCATTACAGAGAATAAAGAGGAGAGGAAAGCAAAAGGAACAGGGACAAATGAATATATCCTATCCTCTTCCCCTCCTTCTCTTTTTTCCTCCCTCCCTAAGAAAGACAGAAAATCTATGTGTGTTTCTTCTCCTGCTTCCCTCCACTACCTTAGTCAGGGATGGTGAGTAATTCATAGGAAATTAAACAGCAGAACAACACTAATGAGACCAAAACAATTTGACTAAAACATGCCCAAGTGAGATCCACATGCATGCCTATAAAGGCCTCCTCATCTCACCTCTTTATTGTATAAGAGACACAGTAAAAATAAAGTGCTCTCATGGATCCAGCAGATGGTGTAGTACTTAAGGTGCCAGATTCCCACATGACCAACTGCAGTTCAAGTCCTAGTGAAAATCGCACAAGGTGGCTGTGTATCCATGCCCAAAGTCCTAAGAGAAGAATGGAGAAGGTACTATAGCATGGTCATCTTCCTTGGGGGGTGATGTCTCACTTTATCTCTCTCTGTCTCTGTCCACCTCTCTGTCTCTGCCAATCTTTCTCTCTCTGGCAAGCACATGCACATTACAACAAAAACCTAAAAATAAATAAATACATAAAGTGCTCTCAATGAAAGTGGAGAACCCACAGAAATCATTTTAGAAATGTATCAATGTTCCTGAATCTGAAGCATTTCCTTGACTCTTTGCCATCTAAGTGCCAACAACCAATGAACGTACTGAGAAAATGTGGCACATGTACACTGTGGAATATACACAGCCTAAAAACAATACAATCCTGTCATACGACACAAGTGAAGGAATGTAGATGACATAATGGTAAATGTAACAGGCAGCCTATGAAAGCACACGCCATCTGTTCCCACTTAACATAAAATGAATATCTGTACTCTGTAGAGGAAACTAAAGGACTCAGAAGCATAGGAAGAGAGAGTGATGGCAGATGCCAGGAATTTCATGAGAGCAGGGATTTCAAAAGAAGAATTTTAATGTACACAAGAATGCACCTGAATTAGGGGAAGAAGCTATGAAATGATGAACCACAACAGAGTGAAAAATATGGACAAATCAGAACATACTTCCTCCCTAAATAGTAGAACTGTTATCAAATGTGTAGAAGGTAATGTAATGCTCAATGTTGAAGAAGACGAATATGTGTATATCCCTGATTTGATTAGTATATACTGTATGCATGTTTTGGACAAAACCATATCATATCCCACAAAGTCGTACACCAAATATACATAAGCCAGAAATTATAATAATTTTTTTTCGAAAAACCTAGATGCTGGACCAGCCAGTGGAACAGTGCTTAAGACTCCTGTATCCTACATGACCAACTATGTGATTCAAGTCTAGGTAGCCTGAGAGACATGCCAGACACCTGTGCGTGCATGCTCAAAAATCCCCAAAGGAGAGAGAAATGGAGGAGATAGGGCTATGGTGCAAGCACCCCTCATAGGGGGTGCTTTCTCTTTGTCTTTCTCTCTCTCTCTCTATTCTCTCTTTCCCCTTCTTTATATAGCACGTGCACCCTTTGGCAAATTAAAAATAAATTGATGAAAAGCAAGATATTCGGGACCAGCAGTTAGCGTAATGGCTATGTCGCTGGACTCCCACGTAGTTGACTGGGTTCGCGTCCCAGACCCGGTGGCTTAAAACTCACACTGGGCACGTGTGTGTGCGTGCCCAAGATCCCGAGAGGAGAATGAAGGAGAAGGGATTGTGGTGTGGCCATCCTCCCTGGGAGGTGATTTCTCACTTTCTGTCTCTTTGTGTCTGTCTGTCTGGCGAGCACACACACCCTATAGCAAAAGAAAAAAAAAAAAAGAAAAGCAAGGTATTCACCAAAGTTTTAAGGTAGTACACAAAAACAGTTGTCTCTGAGAGGAGGTTTATGCTCGACTTTTGTTTGGCTTTGTTTCTCATTCTTTTCTATTTATTCCAAAATTTCAATGTTGAACATTTATCACTTTTATAATTAAAATTAGATTAATTTTGTGGTAGCCTAGTGGTTAAGGGAGCCAAACTCCACATGGCTAGTCCTTGTCCTGGCAGCTTGAAAAACACACCAGATGTATGTGCACATGGGTGTGCCTAAAATAAAGACAGAATGAAGAAATGGAGAAGAACTATGGTAAGGAGAAGGACTGTGGCATGACCACATCCCTCTGGGGTGTTTTCTCCCTCCTTTTTGTTTTGTTTGTTCATTTTTTTCCCATAGAGTTTGTGCACTTGCTGGAGAGAGAAAGAGAGAGACAGAGAGAGGGAAAGTGAGAATCAGCCCCCAAGGGGGGATGACCATGCTATAATTCCTTCACCTCTATTTTCCTCATGGGGTTTTGGGCACACATGCACGTGAGCCCAGCATGATTTTTAAGCCACCAGGTCTGGGACTTGAACTGCACTCAGCCATACTGGAGTCCAACACCTTAACCTCCAAGCCACCTGCTGGGCTTTCTTCCTCTATTTTTATATCTCTTTCTCTGTCTTTTTGGCAAGCACACATATCCTTTGCCAACTAAAAAATATTTTGAATGTTCTTAGTTAACTGAAAATTGATTTTAGAAATGACGGAGTTGCTAATTCTAATATAGAAGTCTGATAAGCATTTTGCATATTATTTATCAGTTAGCCCATAAAGAAGTATCTGAGAAGATCATCTTCTCTGAAAACTTAGAAAAAGAAAATAAGGCAACAAAGACTCTTGGTTAGTGAATAATTTATTGACTTACATTCAATTTATTAGAAACATATCTTCTGAATCAGAACTTAGCCTTCATGAACATGAGAAACTCAATGAGAACAAATAATGGACTATTTGAAATTTGTCCTGGAGAAATTCCAGCCATATGGTTAAAACTTTTTAGTAGCTCTCTGGATCTGGGAAAACTTCAGCAACACATTTTATAAGGCCTTCCATAATCTAAGATATTTGGGACTCATGTCTTCAGTTGTCTCTTATCCTTGTCTTTATTAAATGAATTGTTCTTAAACAGACAGTTCTATGGAAATAAGTTGCATAACAGAAATAATAAAATCAAGACTAAGGTTGCATAACAGAAAGAACGACGAAAAGACATCAGAAATATAGGTTATGATCTTGAAAATTGAGCAACTAACTTAAAAATCTCTGGATTCAGCCACTTCTCTTAGATAGCCCTTCCCTACAACACACACCTACAATTACAAGCTTATAATACTTCCACCCAAGAAATCTTGATTACTCTGTCAGCCTGATTGTGGTCCTAGGGTTATTCATTAATTGTTTAGACTTGTTAACATCAATTAATTAACATTCATTGTTCTGAAACTTGCATAATGTCAACAAGCACAATCCACCAGCAAGCCCATAATGAAATCTTGGCAACCGTTGTTCATGTCTGTGATTCTTTTTCAGACCAAAGTCTGCAAGGTAGTAAAATGCCCAGATTTGGCTGTCTCTGGCCAGTGGGAGGTAGTCACCGGGCATGAAGGGAAGCAAGAATCGGCCATCTTTGATGCTGTCATAGTCTGCCCTGGGTTTCTAACTAACCCTCATTTGCCACTGGATTCCTTTCCAGGTACAGATTTTTCTCTTTCTTTTTTTTATCTTTAAGAAGGGTTTTTTTAAAATTTCAATTGCTTTTCAATTTCAAACTCAATCACATCTGTCACTTAGCTTGCATGGATTGAAAACGTGTGGCACATATACTCTATGAAATACTACTAAGCCATAAAAAACAATAAGAGCCTGACTTTTGACAAAAAGTGGGTGAATATAGAAGATTTACTGCTGAGCTTTTGACAAAAAGTGGGTGAATATAGATTTACTGCTGAGTGAAGCAAGCCAGGCTATGAAGGAGAGACATTACATGTCTCCACTTAATATATTACCTACTGTCCACACTCTATAGCCGAAACTGAATGACTACAGGTATGGATTTTTCTGCAGCTGCCCTTAGGCTGTCACATAGGAGCCATTTGCATGCTTGTTACATAGTTAAAGTTGTGAGGTAACAGGAGATTTGGTCTACCCAACACATTCTGGACAGTGTTTGGCTTTCATATTCTTGAAATAACCTATAAGTACAGAAGAGCAGAAAGATTTTCTAAGCATATTTATGTGTCACAGAGACTCAGTGTCCCTTCACAAGTGACTGGGAGCACTCAGAAGTCTCCTAAGATGTGGAATGCTCAGACTGTTGTAGCCTCAGCTGCAGCTGCACCTTGCTGATGTTGAGTTTAGTGGCCAAAGAGGTCAGTCTGGGAATAAAAAAAAAAAAAAATATATATTTTAAAAGTTAAAACTTAGGAAAAACTTCTCCAAATCATCTAAAATATGGCCTGGAATGATCCCAAGACTCATCCTACCATAAATCCACATATCCCCAATGATCCTGTATCTGCCCCCAAAGATCTCTCAAGTCAAGTTGAATTAGGATAAAGCAGATCCTGAAAACTGTCATGGAATAAAATAATTTAATTGAGAAAAACCAGTTCGGTCTTCCTCACAATGTAGGAAATTATTCTCCAACATCCCTAAAAGGCTCAGAAGCCTCTGCTTGAACAGCTGATAATAACTTCTTATCACCCCACAAAACAAACTAGTCTGTCTGTTCTTGCCTGCAAAGTAAAGTTCTGAGCAGCCAGCCACCTCAAGCTCTTAGGAAGGAGTGCCTGGTATAGGGCTCTTCCAAGAACTGAGAAAGTTCCATAGCAATGGGAGTAAACTGCACTTATCTAGCACTTAGAGTATGTTGTACAGGGTGCTAGAACGATAGAGGCAAATGAGAAACATGTAGCCTGAAGTAAGGAATGATTAGTTTTTTTGGAGCCCAGGAGGGGTATTATAGTCTATACATGACCTGATGATACTAATCATTTTCTTAAAGTTAACTCACATATCTCCATGGTCCTGGATCTGCCCCCTGGATGTCATAAGTCAGATCTGATTAGGACAAGAGCACACCCTGAAAGTGCCTGACTCAAGGTGCTTGAATAGGATGAGCTTGGAACCCACGGAGTATGGACTCTAGGCTATAAACTAACTGGTTATAATCTTGGGCCTCCCACTCAACCTTTCTAAAGTGTCCATTTTTTTTCACCTATAAGTTGAGGACCTTGGCCACCTTACCCAACTGCATGCATCACAATTCAAACAGGAAAAGCTCTATAAGATTTGGCAGTCTTTCTAATGATTTTTTAATGTCCATCTTACTAGCCACTATCAATTTGAAATCCTTGGCTACATTGTTGTTGAGAAGCCTATGAGCTCTGGAATTCTGTAGTTCTAGACTTTACTCCCACTATTTCCCTCCATCTTCATGACAGACTTGCTCAATCTGTACATGCTTCCTAACGTGGTGGTTCAGTTACAAAAATTCAGATTTACTGAAGATGTTCAAAAACATGTGCTAATATTTGAACTTGGGGGGTCAGCAGGTGGCGTGGTGGTTAAGGGCCCTGGATGTCAACATGGCCAACCACAGTTCAAATCCCAGGCCAGGTGGCTTGCTTTTTCACCACCCCCTCCTTTCTTACACTGTTCCTCTCTGGTCAAATTAAAGTAAATGAATAAATAAATAAGTTAAATAAAATAATTCTTTAAAAAAATAGTTGAACTTGCTTATATCTGTGCTAGATTCCTCATGCTCCAGATAGTGGTCAGGCTTTAAATAGGATTCTTGTTAGATTTATAATGATTCAAGATGAACTCAAACAGCTACCTAGCCTTTACAAGGCTGCTTTTGAGAAAATAGATGTCTAATCACTTCCTCTAGAAAAAAGAAAGTTTTTTTTTTTTTGAGAGATATTTGCTATAGGGCATGTGTGCTCACCAGAAAGACAGAGAGAGACAGAGAGACAAAAAGCGAGAAATCACCTCCCAGGGGGATGGCCACATTGCAATCCCTTCTCCTTCATTCTCCCCTCGGGATCTTGGGCACACACGCACACATGCCCTGTGTGTATTTAAACCACCGGGTCCAGGACTAGAACTGCGGTTGACTACATGGGAGTCCAGCGACATAGCCATTACACTAACTGCTGGTCCCCAAAAAGAAAGTTCTTTATTCCATACATATCACTTTTGATTGTGTAAAATGGCCTTGAGAGTATTTTTAAAAACTCTTCATTTGTGTTTGATATTTCAATGAGATTTGGTATCAGCTGAGATATCCCATGTAGTTAGCCCTGTAGATCCAATCCTGGTGTCACTAAAGTAACACTTTTACTTCATACCAATCTGGCTGACTCAGCAAACTGCCTTATTACAGGCAGTCACCCAGGTGAGCCACCAGCGAGCACTCAGCCCTCATGGATCTTTGTGAGTAGGGTCTATGTTTTGTTTATCTTACTCTCACATCATCTAGATAGTGCTGGTACATAGCAAATGTCCAGAAATGCTTACCAGACACTTTCCTTTGGCTTCTGTGTTCTTGCTCCTTGTTTGTGAAAAGCTGGCCATAAATAAATTCTCAATAAGTAGAGTATTATTACCTCATCGACTCCCATTAACCTTTAAATGCTAATGACTCTTTGCCTTTTGCTTAATGTGTCTTTATGCCACTGTATTTCAACTTAGCAATTAGTTATTTTCTAAGTAAAACTGGAGGCTTGTCTAGTGTAATTATCCCCCACTAAATAAATAATTACCATCTAATGTCTTATAAATGCACTCCGAGTTTGGATTTCCTCAAAGTTGAATGCACTAGTAAAAACAAACAAAATCTTCTGTCAAAGGGATATAACTGACTGAAAAATTTATACTTCCTTCATGGATCCAGTAAATTCTCTACTTGACTTCTTTTTTCTTCTTTTTAACGGCCAGTACTTTCATAGTTGACAGTATAAACATCCAGATATATTTAAGGACAAGAGAGTCCTTGCAATTGGAATGGAAAATTCTGGCAGAGTCATTGCTGTTGAAGCCAGTCATGTGGCAAAAAAGGTACTGCTCTAGATGTTACTTACTAAAGAGCTTTATCTTGAGTTGCATGCCTCAAACAAAATGTGTTTGACGATGTGATAAATGTTAAAGGAATAAAAATACCTAGTACAACAGATATTTAAAGCATATTTGATTGAACATTCATAAATTTTACTGAATTTCAGTTGTCATCTTTCCTTCAAAACCTGCTTTTCGAACTTCTTACTAATGTCATTTTATCTACCATCCAATAAGAGCGATGGAACACATCTCTTCTGTACTCTGTCGCAAAGGTCCAAAAACCACGGCAAGTTTTCCTTGCTCTCTTCTTTGCCCCTCTTCTCCTAGTTAATTTTGCCACCCTCAACAGGTCTACCCCATCTCTCTCCAGTTATTGAAACACCTTCATAATAATAATCATAGAAATAGGTGACATTTGTTGTATCACAAGAACTATATTTTGTCCCACATAATTTCAACTAGTCATCGAAGTATGCCACAGAAGCAGGTACTAGAGCAGCCCAGACCACGGATGAGGAAACTGAGACTCACAGAGGTTAAATAGCCTGCCAAGCTGTCCCACTCGAATGTGGTAGAGCCAGTCCTGAAACCCAAATCTCCCCGACTCAGTGCCCATGGTGCTCCTAACTCTGTGTCCTGTGTCCCTGTCTCCCCACTCACAGCCCATCCCCTACTCACAAACATCCATCCAGACCCCAACCACCCACAAACAAATCCTCAGAACATCCTACTCCCTTATGACACTCTCGTATTGAAAACCTTCTAACAGCTGTCCTGAAAAACATTAACTACAGACGTATTAGCATGCACAGGGCATGCTCCATAGTCTAGCCTGAGTCGCCATTTACATTCTAATCCTTGTTATTCTCTTACATGATCCTTAACTGCCACCACACAGGCCTACCCTTGGCCCTGCCCAGGTCCTGTGTCTTTGTTTTTCCTTTGCTCATAGCACGCCCCCCTTTCTATAAGCCCATTTCCCCTTCTTTTATAATCTACATTTACATTCCCAGATATTTCACCCATACACAGAGTGATCAATCCCTATTTAGGATTTATATTTATGTAATGTTGTAATTTACACTCCTCAGTTGGCATGTTTCAATTCTTAGTATTGTTAATTATCTTTTATAGAAAACTAATAGGTATATGTGTGTGTATATGTGTATATGTATATACGTGTGTGTGTGTATGTGTGTGTTCTTTCCAACCATGCTGTAAACTCACTGAGAGCCATTTGGCCAATTGACTTCCACCGTCCTGAGCATTGTGTCAGGCACAGGTTATGCACGCAAGAGGACAACATCAGAAGATCCCCACTGCTGTAGAGCAGGCAGTCCTGGGCAAAATGGATGATGAATAAAGAAGTGTAATAAGTCCAATGATGATGAGGGTGAGAATAATTGTGAAGAAAATGGGCTGGAATGACTTTGATATTCCCTTCTAAAACTTTTGAAAAAGAACTTGATGACTGATAGATCGATTGATAGATTGATTCATTGGTTTGAAGAGAGTTAGCAATTTGGTGGTGTTTTCCTGAAACAAGAGAAAGAAAGAAGAGAAAGGAGGTCTTGAAACAAAAATTAAGGCCCAGCCACCACACATGAGTAGCATGACTAGTTCTATTTCTCTGATGATTTGATTTTTTTTTCAGTCTGGAAACATGCTTTGGCATCTTCTTGTTTCTCTATAAACAAAGAAATCCCCTTGGCTTAGACTGTAACTCATCTACCACAATGCCATATCTGATTCTGCATCGTGACCAGAGAGGGAGGTTTAGAGTGGGGATCTCATGTTAGAACTGCTGACGTGCCTGCTGTTTTTGCCATCATGCCCTAGATGGTGTGCTGGGGATTTCAAAAAGTCCCATTTGTGCAAAAATGGAATTATTAAAATAAAAGTTTATTTTGACACTCAAAAGATTGAAAACCATGCATAGCTTTTTCAGAGTATACCTTTTCCCTGAACTTTCCGAGATCCCTTGCATATAACAGAAGTTGTGACCCTATAGCTGGGGCTCTTATACCCAAGTTGGGTAGGGAAAAATAATCTTTTAAACCTGTTGTTTTGCATCAGCAAAGTAACAGATTGGCTAACTCAATATTTTACTTTTGTTTTTTAAGTTTTTGTTTGTTTGTTTGTTTGTTTTGTTTTTGGGTGTGTACTTGCCATAGAGAAACAGAGGAAAAGTGAGAAATTATCCCCCCAGGTGGATAATCATGCTGCAATTCTTTCTCTTCTATTCTTCTCTTGGGATTTTGGGCACCCATGAGCACATGCCTGGTGTGATTTTTCAAACCACAGTGACTGAGACTAGAACTATGGTCAGCCATGTGGGAATCCAGTGACATAACCACTAAACCATCTGCTGGACCCCAAACCAACATGATTTTCAAGCCACTAGATCCAGGACTTGAACCTCATTCAGTGCTTTAATCCTCATGCCATCTATTGGCCCCCAATCTTTTGCTTTTAAATGGTTGTACGGGTAACTCTCTTGGATAAGTACCAAAACAACTATTAGCTGAGGAAACTCAGTAGACTGATAAACCCAAACGGCCACTTTGTCAAAAACCAAACAAAAAGCACCACGACTAATTGTCTTACAGAATTTTACTGTCAGTCAAACCAATGATTTTTATTGAACCCTCATGGACAGCTCCCAGTTGCTGCTGTGCTCTGCTTTATTGCTGACTGTGATCATAGTACACAAAGTCCAGTCCCTGCCTCTCCTCGAATGGCCCACGGTGTAAACCACGTGTCTCTGTGCTTGTTTCCAGGTGTTCCTCAGCACCACTGGAGGGGCCTGGGTCATCAGCCGTGTCTTTGACTCGGGGTACCCATGGGACATGGTGTTCATGACGAGATTTCAGAACATGTTCAGAAATTCTCTCCCAACTCCACTTGTGTCATGGTTGATAGCAAGAAAGATGAATAGCTGGTTCAACCATGCAAATTACGGCTTAGTACCAGAAGACAGGTAAGTATAGCATGCCTGCCCAGGGCTATTAGGAAGAAGGAGGCTGGACATTTTCAGCGGGACCTACAGGAATGTGACTGAATATGAGGAAAGCTTCAAACAAATGTATTTAAGAACATAGCTAACTGTTCTTAAGTGCTCAGTAAATGAAATTATGTTTTCACCTTGTCAATGAATTCTTTATGGTAATTATTATTATAATCTTCCTTTAACTGAAATAACTGAGGCTTAGAAAACTTAGTCACTTGCCAAGCTAATTTAGTAGCAAGTGAGTACTCTGTCCTCGGCAGGTTACTTAGGCCTCAGCAGCGGTAATCCTAGGACAAAGGTTTGCCCACAGTCCTGCTGGCGAAAGTGACAGAAAGGGGGAAACTGAATCCTGTCGATGCCTTTCATCATGTCTTTAATGGCACTGCCTTTGTGCCCTGATCAAGATGACCTTGATTCGAGTCTGGCCTTTCCATTGTAGCCTTCTGTTATCCCACTAACAAAAGCAAAAGTGTGGACAGGAAGCCACTCTCACCACCTCCTCCCACCATTTGACCATTTGTTCTTTCCATTTTACTTTCGTGCATTCACTATAAGCCAAACCTGGCTCAGTTTGCACAAAATTCATTCATGAAGTGTCCTGTGAGTCTAGAGATACAGGGAAAAAAAAAAGAGAAAGAGGATTTCTGGAGACCAGCAAATGGGCATAATGGTCATGTTGCTGGTCTCCCATGTAGTCAACCATAGTCCAAGTCCCAGACCTGGTGACTTAAAGCTCATACTGGGTGTGTGCATGTGTGTTTCCAAAGTACTGAGAGGAGAATGGATAAGAAGTGATTGCAATGTGGCCATCCCCTCCTGGGGAGTGATTTCTTGCTTTCTGTCTCTGTGTTTCTCTCTCCAGTGCCCTATAGCAAAAATCTCTTTCTAATCAAAAAAATGATTCTGTCTTTATTTTTCCTTTTAAACACACGCATGCTTCCTAGGAGGAGTTGGGATGGGGAAGAGCTTCCTGTAATTCAACTTTCAGCTGTCTCTAGAACGCAGTGATAGCTACATGCTGAACATCAGCAAGAGAAACAAACTAAAAGAAGTCCTGGCTTCTCCTCAGGCTTCCAAACTCTAGTAAATGACAGG